GTGTGGGTGTAGATGTGTGGGTGGGTGGGTGGGTGTGGGTGTGGGTGGGGGTGGGGGTGGGGGTGGGGGTGGGTATGGATGGGTCTGGATGGGTCTGGGTGGGTCTGGGTGGGTATGGGTGTGGGTGTGGGTGGGTATGGCTATGAACCCTCTCTTCCATTTACACCCACATCCATAGCCATACCCCGCACCCGCAAACGCATACGCACACGCACTCGTACACCGAGAAACACACCCACATCCTGTAGGAACGATCTGAATCGTTAAAAGCATTGTCCGTTTTGCTAAAAGGTATATCAAGAATGCTAGAGAACTGATCTTAGATGGAGGAAAGATTTTCTTAGTTTGGATGTGCATTTAAGGTTACATGCTTTCATAGTCACAGCTCAGATCCACGTGGTTTCTCGTCGACGATGAAGTTCTACCATCTCTATGTGAGAGAGATCGTTTCTACCTCGTATTTGATAAATTTCCTAGATTCAGGACACGGAATTGATAGTTTATTAATGCAGGTTTTTGAGACATTACTCTTCCGGGGCAGGAACCCAATAACTTTGAATAAGAATCTTTTAATGAGAATACTAAGAATCATGGTATAGGAACCTTCACTAGAACAGTGCCATCTCATGGTAAAATATGAGATTCTAAGATTGCTGGAAGGCACTCTTGAGGATGATGATAGCATAACAAGAAGGTCGTAATTTAAGATGCTAAATCTAATACCTACACTACTACGAACCAAATCTGAAATGCTGGCAGATCATAAACAGCCGTTACAAACGTTGACAGATATACAGGCCAGACAGTAATTTGCCCACGCGGGGCACCTGGGTGATTCGCATAACGATATCTACAAGGGTGTAGGTGTGGATGTCTGCAGGAGTCTTTGTTTCATATACTCACACCCTCAGCGCAAACTTTTGAAAGAAGATCGCACTATGCTGCGGTATTCAACATCAAAATTATGTAACCTCTGATGTGGGTTTTTGAATTATTCGAAGAAATCACGGTGAAAAAAACTTAGTAGCGCGAAATAACTTGATATCGTCAAAACGAAAGGGAGACGGCCAAAATTGTGGCCTATACTTGATTCAATATCATCTTCTCAACTTTTTTGTAAAATAAAAAAAGCACAATCATAACTGAACTGGATTACTAATGAAGGTCAAAGAAATATGTACACTTTCTCAGATTTTGAAGCAAACATATCAATTTTGTACAGTATTGAATTCTCTACTGAATAAACTCATGACTTAAATATTTAATTTTCTCTAGACAAACGTTTTAAATCGTGATAGTGTGATGACTATGGTATTTTAGTGGCTGTAGAGATTTTTATCAAAGAATATTTCTGTACTTTCGCAATATCTACACTCAGTGTTGACATATAGACAAGTAAAAACGAGAATTGCACAACCTATAACTTGTTGAACTTTGACTAGAACATAATTCATATAGAAGAACGACGAGCCGCGATCGATGGCTAAACACAACTTAATATTATGAGACAGAAGCATCACATTTGGTCCTTTGGGACTACGGTTGTCGATCAATTCGATACTCGCCATCCTATTTTTCCAACTTTTTCATTGAAATGAAAAGGTTTGAAAACGCTCGAATCTTTTTTATGTCGAACTTCTATACAAACAAGAATTATATCAGAATTTGCTCCCGAAATAGTAATGTACATTTGCATTTATATTTTATTAAATAGATCGAGACTCCTTCTCATTGAAATAAAAGCTTTCAATGGAATATCAAATCAATCTTTACAGAATTCAAAGAAGAACAACATGTGGTAAATGAAATCGATTAAAAATTTTCTTTCGCTCACAAATAGTGTCCCATTTTTTCCATGAGAGTCACTATTTTCAATTAAATTTCAATGAGCTCTATCAATATCAAATATGATTTTGTGCACTTGACACACGCAAAAATAATTAAATAAGAAGGCGGATAGCTTTAACTTTCTTTTCATGATGAAAAGAAAGTATTTAATATGAAAATGTTTACGAATGAAATTTTTACAGTCTTTATAACCGTATTCATAGGAAAGTCAGAAACAAAAAAAATGTCAAAACTAGACGTCGGCGTGACCAAAATGTCGTGACCAAAGAAAAAAAAAGTTATTTGATTATAGCTTCAGTAGTAAATGTGAGAACCGAAACCTATTTAACTATTCTTGTTCAGAATTTTCTTCTCTTCAAAATGATATATAAATGTCAAAGAATCTGATGATCCATAACAGAGAAACTTGCATCACATTAGTCGTGATCAGAAAACGTCGTGACTGACCGTGACCAGAATTGGTCACGACTAATGTGATGTGATTTTCTCTGTTATGGATCACCAGATTCTTCGACATTTATATATCATTTTGAAGAGAAGGAAATTCTGAACAAGAACAGTTAAATAGATTTCGGTTCTCAAATTTACTATTGAAACTATAATCGAATAACTTTTTTTTTCTTTGGTCATGACATTGTGGTCACGCCGATGTCTAGTCAAAACTAAAAAGGTTCAGAAAAATGTCCACCATGAAAAAGATCGCAAAAATAACGTTGAAAGAAGAAATATCGTACGTAAAAAAAATTGAAGATAGCGTAAATAGGCATTTTACAATTAGGTTGTGTCGTCAAGATGAAGAAGCTCAATCCAGATCCAGACATATGTTATTACCAATCGATGCTGGTGCTCGAGATCGGTCAAAAACGGCATTGATTAATTCAACAAAACAACGTATTAATACTTTAAATGAATGCTTTACAAATAATGAAATTGATCTTAATTAATTATTGGATGCTTTGTCATTAAGGGTAGCAAAGCAAAGCAAATGGATCTTAATAGTTAACATGCATTCTTACTTTAATGTCACTTTTTTAATTTTCTCTATTCTCTACAAAATCACTTCTATACAAGATCTATCGTGTCTGGATCTGAAATTTTTTAGTCGACGGGATTCGAATCCAGAAAAATTATGAATCAGATGAGCTCTAGCCACAAAAGATTAGTCAACCAGATTCGAATCCAACAATTTTGATCGACCGGATCTGGTTTCATGCCCAATAAATTTTAATCAGCTGGACGCAGGAATTTTTGGACTCGATGAGTTCTACTTCTGTATGATTTTTTAAAAAGATTCTTCTTTCTCAAAACATCGGCGAAGTTATTTACATCTGAAAAAATTAAACTATCTTATACTAGCATTCTTGACATTTTTTTCGACGTGACTATCGTTTAATGTTTTTCTTTCCACCTTTTCTATGCCATTCTTTGTAACACACGTCAATAAAAAAAATAGACGGTACGTTTTAATTTCACAATTCTCAGAGCAGTTATACAGAATAAGTCTTGTTCTTTTGATGAATTTACTTTGTAAATCATTTGTAGTCGTATTCAACATGAACATCATGATATTTATGAAGGTTTTCGTTAGAAAAAAAAGAATTTCCAACTCGTCAAATGTGCGACTCATTTAGAAACAATATCTAATGTGATGATGGCTTTTAAGTAGATTGAAACATACAAATCTCCAATTTGTGTTTTCTTTTCTTCACACAATGATGAAGTTTACATCGTTTAAGAATACTTTTTTCCTATATTCTTATTTTTCTGAGCCGATTATAATTCATATTTCATGTTTAGATCAACCATAGACACAACTTATGACTCAAATTTAAGATGTCCAGTATGTCTGTGATGATGTGGGTGTAATACTTCTGTTACGCGACATCTACACCCCACACTCCACCCTTCTTTATTTTCTATTACTTTTATGAAGCTAAAGAATCTATGTGAGTTCCAGACTCTAGTCCCAAACGGACTGCGCTGACAAGCTTTTATACATGTCTTGCCTTACTAATCTTAATAAGATGTTCTTTTAAAACAAGCAAGATTTGTTTCTTTTTCTATATAAGAACTTCACATGTGAATGAATGGTAATCCTGCTACATAATCTGGGCACATTGTGATTGACTGTACCGATCTGCACCCAAAATCGATGGACGTTACATCTTCTTTATTTTGACAATCGAGAACAAGAACATATATAATTGTAAAGTATAAGTGAATTTCAACTTTTCACTGTTACTGGATAGCTCATTGTTGTTCAGTGATTGATTACCATATTTTAGCAACCATTTCAATTCTTCTCGAACTTTTATTTTTCTATACCAAGGATTACCAGTCACTGAGTGTCCTTCCTTTGGAAAAATAATTAATTTAACTGATATGCCAAGATAATGAAGTTCTCGTTCTAATATATAACTTTGAGATGTAGGAACTCGATTATCATATTTACCAGTGATGATGTGTGTAGGTGTATGTATTCTATCTAATTGATAAATAAATGCTTCATTTTGATAAATATTTGATACTTCCCAGAGAAACCCTCCAAACAAGTAGCTGAGTGATACAGGCATATCCATCATACCCCGTACTGAAGCATAATCAACAACGCCAGCACCTGACAGAGCAGCATTAAAACGTCTAGTCTGCGTAATTAACCAATTTGTTAAGAAACCATCACAACTATAACCACCGACAGCAAGCCTGTGTGGATTAACAATGCTATCTTTAATTAATCGATCAACTCCACAAAGAATATCTTTTCCTGGTCGAGATAGTGGTCTATGACGAATTTCATTGAGAAATTAATCACCATAGCCTGTTGATCCTCGATAGTTAGGTTCTAATGCCAGCCAACCTTCTGAAGCTGCCAATGAAGTCCAATCATGCCAAGCGAGCTCAAGTCTATTTAGACTAGCCCAATATGGACCTCCATGAATAAGCACTAACACCCAGGTCGAAAAGTACCGGCCGGTTCCGGCAGGAAAACACCGGAAATCAACGGAACATGGAAGCAGTATTCCGGCCGGAAATTTTTCGGATTTTTTCCGGTGAATTCCAGCCAATTCCTGTTCTTTCCGGCAGGAACCGGCCGGAAATCCGCCGGAAAAAGTCCGAAAAATTTCCGGTCGGAATACTGCTTTCATGTTCCGTTGATTTCCGGTGTTTTCCTGCAGGAACCGGCGATTTTTCCGCGTCTTTCCTGCCGGTTCCTGCAGTATCCGGTGACCGGAACGATCGACCTGGGCAGAGATAAATTTTTAGATTCCGACATTTCAGCTGGATAATGTAGGATTCCTGCGATCATTCGATGATCATCTTCATTTATCCAATTGTATAATTTTGTTTGAGGTAAATTTCTTCGAGTAAACAAGTCATTTTCGTTGGTTGTTGCTTGTGCTGATTTCAGTTGATCAATATTGTTAATGAAATAAACTTCCATAGGTTTTTCGAATGATGAATAAACAAATGCAATTGATCCATTCTTATTTGATGATACAATCGATTCATATGTTCCGTTCCATCCATGGTGATGAATTAAATCTTTCGTTAATGATTGTTCTGTATAAATTTGTACTTCTGTTCCTAATAGCCCGAGTATATAAACACCAGAATCATACTTTATTGTGTATCCATTGACACTACCATGAAATGTTTCTCCTAAACGTGTTAGTTGTTCATTCATTAAGTTTAATGAATAAAGACGATATCATGTATCGTTAAACTTTCCTTTATTTGAACTAAGACTAAATGTAAGAAAAAGGGGATGATGACCATCAATCGATAACTGTAATTCTATTTCGATTGCTTCATTATTTGTTAATTTTGACAATTTCGATGTATTTCGAAGATCAATCGAATATAGTTCAAATTCATTTAGATTTTCGACAAGTTTCGACATGGATGAGACGATGAGTTGCTCTTCATAGGAAACATATAATAACTGATTAATAAGAAAGGATACATTACAAACAATATTTCTTTCCACAGGTAATGAGAGATTGTTTAAATTGAGATCAATACGATACGATAGATTGTACTGTTACTACGCACTACATGTTGTCGATATTGAATAACATCTTTCCATTCATCATTATATAATTCATTTTCTTTATCTATTGACCACAAATCAATGACAGCTATGTAAACAGATGAATCATTGTTAGAGGGTGTGCGGTGAAGAGACGATGAACACCCACACGCACACCCGAAAAATTTGTTTCTTTGAAACGTGTTGTTAAGACCCTTTTAGCGTTCTTGTGAAACGCGCTTTACCACTCAAGAACTATTCTTTTTTAAATAACGTTCTTAGCATATCAGAACACGTTCTTTTTCACTAAAAAGACGCGCTTTTTATATTGAAAACGCGTTCCTGAAAGATACGAAAAGCGTCTTAACAACGCGCCTCTGTTCGTTTTTTTTTATTATCTCTTGTTCCATGAGTCTATTGTATCGCGGCACTTATAATCTGACGAAAAACAGACAGCGGTATTCGATCAAATTCTAATCCTAGCGATCCCAATATATGATCTTGCTACAAGATTATGCCAGATTTCGTCAAATTCTCATATGAACGGTACGGAATCCAAAAGGACTTTAAAAATTCGATAAGATTCAACTATTCGCTTATTTCAGCTGGACTTAAACCAATTAGACTTTCCCATATTCTTTTCAAATATATATCTTGTTTTTGTACAATTAAAAATCGAAAAAAAGTAAAGCAACGATGTTTCAACAGATGGCGCTCATATACGACTCCACAGTTGTTTTATTTTTATTGAATTTGTCTCATTTCATTGCATTTTCAATCATTCATTATAATTTTTCTAAATTAGTTTTTGATTCAATTTTTCGAATTCCCTTGAAATTTTTTTGATAAGGTTCAACAAATGTCTAAAATGTCGTTTTCTTATTGCCTATCGATCAATTCATTTTCATCAGTCATCTCTAGTCTTTTTTTTGTTTACTTTTTCCGTCCTGTCAGACTAATAAACCGTATTATTAGTTTTTTTTTTCTAAAGAAAACATATTTTTAAATCGAAACATCTCAAGAGATAGAAATGCATCCTGTTTCTCTGGTTTTTGATAATATTTGTTTTGAACAAAAGGAATATTTAACATGGTTGGAAAGAAAAACTGAATTAAAACAATGAAACTCCTAGTCTTTTTAATATATAATACGTTCTTTTAAAAATAAAACTAATTTCTGATCAAACCAATAAATTGTCTATTTGATTTTTTTCAGCATGATGGACGAATTTATCCAGTGAATTATTTTTTCTCTAATATTTAATAATGGCTTCGTGCATGTATCGTGTGGGTGGTAAGTTAAGTGATAATTAATCTAATGTCGTTTTACTATTTGCTGACTTATTATTTAGATTACGTCTACTTTGAAGGAAATCCAACAGAACCTTATCTGATTCGACGAATTGAAGAATTAAATAAAGTACGTTTGATAAATTTTCATGTGTAATGAATAAAGTGCTGTTCTCAAGAGCGGCTGAAAGTTTCAATGAGAATTTTGACTGTTTAGCGAAAGTCATACGAATCTTATCAATGACCAAAAATTTGAAAGACCGTTTTAATGATTCATGGAAAGACAAAAGCTGTGAACTTGTTACATTGAATTTCAATGTCAAAGAGAGAAAACATGAGGCTAATGACTCATTTTTCTGAAGCACGTTTCTCTTCAAGTTCAATAAGAATCTGTACAATTCCATACCGAGATAAATCGAGAAGTTACAGTCAATTACACCAGAATAAATTCTGATATTGTTAGTCTTATATATGGATGAAATTTTAAATAAATTGTTTCTATATAAAAACACCTTGATCTCGATTTCAATACCGTTGCATCGAGACTCGCATAGGAACTTCATGCACGAGAAACTCATGTTCGGTAATCTTCAGAAGTCTTTGTGTTTGTTTTTTGGCAACACAGCACAATAATTTCTATTATTCATTCTTAATATAAAAGATTATAAATTTTGCTCAATCTAAAGAACATCGAACCAGATTTAGTTTTCAATCTTGATAAGAACTTTCTAATGTTGTTTTTTTTAATTAAATTTAGACTCCAACTGGCAATGTTGAAGCACGTGTTGCTTGTTTTTATCGTCGTCGTGATATCTCTTCATATCTAGTCAACCAAGTTGATCGTCTTAAAATTGATGGTAAAAGTTTTTTTTTCTAAAAATTATTTCCTATAATTTATTTACTTTTGTAAAGTTCCATGGGAAGATGATGATGAAATAACAAATGATCCTGGATCAACAAATGTAAATGGACAACAAATTGAATTAACTGATATTCAAAAACATCAATTACGTCATCGTGAATTATTTTTAACACGTCAAAATGAAACATTATTAGCAACAAATATACGTGGAAAATGTTTAGTTGTTTTACATAATGAAACTGAAACATTTTCATCATATCTTAATTCTGAGGTTTTATTAGAAAATAAATATAAAAAAAAAAACAAATTATTATTATTATTGAATTTTTGTTTGTTATTTAAAGGATCTTTTTTTTTATCAACTTGTTTATGATCCAAATCAAAAAACTTTAAATGCTGATCGAGGTGAAATTCGTGTTGGTGGAAAATATCAAGCTGATGTAACAATTCAACCATTATTGAATGATGAAAGTCAAGGTATTATTAATAAAGCATTCTTTTTTTCTAGGAGAAGGTCTTCAGCTAGAGCAGAGATTTATCAACAATACACAAAACAAAAAAAACGAAGGACAGCAACCATATGTACAATCATTTCTTATTTTGTATTAGCTGCTGCAAAACGGCTATATACTTGTGTAGTTAAATACAGATTTATAGTAGCTTTGAACCCAACTACAGATTAGATTCAGACCTCAAAAATTGAGTTTGCCGCCTGATTGTCTCTCGTATGATACTCCTTCTTCAATCCCGACGACCTCGAAATAGTTTACTTTATATTAATAAATAAATTTATTTTTTGTTTTTAAAGATATATTATCATCAAGAGAAGATTTAATCTGGGATGCAAATGGTGGTTTAACAGAAAAACAAATTGAACAATATTTAATTGTTGCAAGGTATTCTCGTTGTTGATGTAACTTATTAAAAAAAAATAATAAAACTAATAGATCAATCGGTACATTTGCTCGTGCACTTGATTGTCCAACAGCATTAAAACATCCAAGTCTTCATATGAGTGCAGCATCAGCATCACGTGATGCAACATTAGTAAGAAATTTAATTGTTTTGATTGATTAGAATATTTCTTTTTTTTATAGTTTTTTGCAATGGATACATTACATAAACATCATTATGATTTAGCTTTAGCTACATGTAGTTTAGTACCAAATACAGGACCAATACTTGTTAAAGATCAAATGGAAGATTGGTCTGCTGCTGAAGCTAATTCATTTGAAGATGCTATTGAAAAATGTGGAAAAGATTTTCGTGAAATACAAAAAGAATATGTAAGAAAAAAAAAAAAAAAAGTATTCTATTAAGAAATAGAAAATTCATATGTAAGTTTTATAGTTACCATGGAAAAGTTTAAAAGGTATTATTGAATATTATTATATGTGGAAAACAACAGATCGTTATGTTGTTCAAAGACGTTTAAAATTAGCTGAACAAGAAAATAAATTAAAACAAGTTTTTATACCGAATTAGTTCGTATTGAATATTTTGTTTTTTTCTAATATTAATATATTGACTATTATTTTCTATTATAGTAATAAAGCACATCAATGTTTATTACCACAACGAACACAAAATGAAAATAAACCATGTGAATCATGTGGAAGTATGTATTCTCGAATGTGAAACAATGAAACATCACCTTTTTTTGTTTAGCAACATCATCTTTGCAATGGTATCAATGGAGTACAGCTCAACCACATACAAGACTTTGTGCAGAATGTTGGATTTATTATAAAAAATTAGGTGGTTTGAAATATTTAAAAAAAAGTGGTAAGATTTTATTTTTATTACGAGTTAAATAATATTGACTTTTATATTGGATTTTAGGTCCTGATCGACGACAAGGTAAGTAAATTTTATTATAAATATTATAAATTCATTTGTAAGAATTATTTTAGAGAGAGCTGCTAATATTACTAAATTAATTAGTTATAAATGTAATGTTAATGGTTGTGACAAGGTATGTTGATAAAGTTTCTATAGAATAGAATTTATTTTCATTCGAAGACTTAAAATCTTGACTTCCTTTTTTTTGCTGCAAAAAAGGTTCGAACTAATATAAAATATTTTCATATGACTCGAAGAGACATCGTTATCACTACCATCATTTTTGTTTATTCTTATTCTATTTATTTTGCAAGAGTTTTATCTTGATATTGCTTGAGTATTCGAATTTCAATGTAATCAATTCTGATTTTTCTAAAATCTTTTAATTAAAGATTTCTTTCATAGAGACGAATTCATATTATTAGGAAGATCAAAAAGTTCTTAGAATTTTAAAAAGAATCATGCCGAGTTTGATAATCTATCCAAAATTAAAAAAACTAAACACACGATATTGTAGAGCAAGTCGAGACGCGTCGTATGCTTTATCATAATTCTTGTTTTTCATAAGATTTTGAGAGAACCGGACTAGATTTACTCGTAGACGCCCATGAATTCAAAGACTCACCAACAGCCTCTACCCGTGAAAAACAATGGTGAATCATTGAAAAGTAGCATTTTTCCCTATCAAAGATAGGACGATCGGAGATGCTGAGTGTATGAGCTTGTAGCCTGTGAAAAGTGCTACAAAAACTGTATATAAGAAATTTATTTTTACAAACACTTTCGACTGATATCAAGGTCCACAATGCTCAGTGCTTTCACTGGATTGTCGCCTACTAGTAAATCCAGTCTGGTTTCTTCAAAATCTTATGAAAACAAGATTTGTTATATACCATTCGACTTGCTCTACAACATGGCATGTTTTGTTTTTTCTTAATTCTGAATAGGTCATCAAATCCGACACGCTCCTTTTTAAAATTTTCAAAACTTTTTGATCCCTCTATGTATGTCAAAACAAGAACCAGAGACTGAATAGCGTTTGTGAAATTTAAAGTTTATACATATGAGAACAATAATTTGGAACACTATTTTGAATACAAATAAATCAGTCTAGGACGGCTGCTTGCTCGGACACTGCCATCTTAAAACAGATGGTAGTTGAACATATTTTATCGTATGTGCAAAGTGATCAATTGGTTTTTCGATGCGTACAACTTGAGAATAGGTACAGATTAAGAGAAATTCATCGACTCACACAATGTCCACATCCAGAGATCATCCATATTAGATCGGGCAGTTAACCACCAAAGCGAAGAAAAAATCCCAGTCTTTCAATAAAGAACTACAATATTTGATTGAAAATCCTCATATAGACGCCAACAATCAACTAAAATATATTGAATGCTTACAATATCTTAAAATTCTATTTATCTATTCTTGTTCAATGCTGTTGTTTCTTATTGAGTCTACTTATTTCTAAAAGTACTCTAAGATTTTCTTCAGACAAAAAAACTAAGAAGCTTAGATCAATCATTAAAATACCTACATATGATTTGATTGTTATTGTGTTACACTCAAATATGAAAACAATCAATTCAATTTTATCAAATACTAAACATACAAAAAAAAAAGCTTGATTTATTTAGGAATGTAAAAATAAACCTGCTCTTCAACGTCATTATGCTGTATCACATGGAATTATGTTTCGTTCTGGTAGTCCACGTCCATTATCAAAACCACGTAGTACATTTTCTTTATATACAACACCATTAACACGTGTTGTTCGTCCATTATGTTCAATTCGACATCTTGCACGTTGTCCATCATTTATAATTGATACTAATGATACATTTCGTAAATGGGAAATATTTATTAAAGAAAAATCATCGTATGATATTCGTAATACATGTACACATCTTCGTGATTTATATAAACAAAGAAATGAACAAAAAAAATATAAACATTTAAATGATTTATTTCCATATAAAGATGAGAATGAAATAAATAAAACATTCGATGATTATATGCCTAAATCTGAAGAAAAAATTGATAATGAATTAAATTTACCATTACGTTATCCAAAATTACAAAATGATTCAGCAGATTTTTATACACAATTTAATCATTCAAATATAAGTATTATGAAAAAACGTCCTTATGAATCAAATGAAAGTTCAAATGAAGGTAAAAATAAAACAATAAATTTTAATTTTATTTATTTTTTTTTTTATAGGTCCATCACCAAAACGAACATTAATTACTCGACAAAATTTAATTAAAAATAAATCACCTGTAAGTGAATTAAAAAAAAAACATTCTTACTGATCTTCAATAGAATATCAAGTTGTTTATCAGAATGCAGTGCCTATGATAGTCCTTTTTTTTTAAGGGAAAAAAAGAGATCGACAGTTCAATCACTCAAAAAATCTCTCCAAAAATAGCGCTCTAATTATATAAAGGTTTGTATATATATAATAAAAGCAAAGCTTAATAAAAAAAACTGGCTCTCATAGGTACTGAAGTTTTACAAACAAAAGAAAACTATTGGCTACAACGAAGTTCGTTCTAGACATCTTGGAGATACGATCGAGAACCTATAAAATGAAAAAAAAAACCGAAAAAGATTTTCAGTTTTTTTTTCGAATAGGAGATGACGGAAATCTTCAAAAATTTTTATCGTTTATGAAAGATCCAATGATAGACGATTTTCCTCTGCATTTATCTTAATTTCGTTGATCTTGACGAAAACGGACTTTTTTGAGGAAGGAGACCTTAACCCTTTGGGGACAGGAAGCACATACGTGTGCTATGATTCTAATTCAATCAGTATCTGACCTAAGCAAATATCTAACGAGACTCTAATGGCAGCATAGATCATAGATTTATAATTTCTGATGCGAGTGTGAATGTGGCTCTGGCTCCGGCTGTAGGTGTGGGTGTTCTTCTTTTTGCAGTCACGCCCACGCTCAAGCCCAAACTTACTCCTGCATTCACACATCTACACCCTATATTTGCAAATAAATGCCTTGTTAAGTATTTCAAAAAGTTTCATTTCTTTTCGGCTACAGTAACCCCGTCCTCAAAAGGTTAACATATTCAAAATTTTAGTATCAACAGACAGTAGCTCTTCCAATATTTATCTAAATTAGTACTTCAGAGTGGTTATGCGAAAAATCTGAATATCATGTTCGAATGCAAGTCTTATCACAGTAGAAGCTCAGATAGATGTTTGAGGAAGAAGGTTTTTTTTTTGATTGTCGTTTTTAGATTTTTCAAAACAAAAAATCATCCTTTTCGTCATGATTTTCTTTCAATTGATAAATTTATATAATAATGTTATTTCTTTTTTTTTAGAGCACTGTAAAATCAACTCGTTCACGTGCTTATACTGTTCCATTTGTTGATCGTAAGTTTATTTTCGAATAGAATATTTTTATTATATATATATTATTTAGCTCCCGATGGGATTTATTTACGTGTAACAAAAGATATTAAGTAAGTTTTTTGTTTTGTTCCTAAAATGTTTATTTTACTTTTTTTTTCATTTTAGACGTTTAAGAAAAGAAATTCCTCAAAAAGAAATTCGTCGTATTGCACGTGCACCATGGAAAAAACTCAATACAAATTTTGTATCGTATGTTGATGATGATATTGTTGTATTGGATTAAATAAATGTGTGTAATTGTTGGCTTTTCCTTTTTTTCTTTTTTTGTATATAATACGTATTCAATATGTTTATCATTTCGGACCAGATTATTCTGTAAACAAAATTCAAAGATTTCTGCGTTTTTTTGTTGTTGTTGTGACTAATTTGGTCTGTTTTTTTTTTCTTTTCATGTTGTTATTAAAATTCTTTGTATAATGATGAGAAGATAATCTTCAAGTTCATTCATTTTCTTTTTTTTTTGTGCGTTCTCATTGTCTAGATTTTTTCAAAATAAAATAAAAAAAAAATTCATCAATGAATTTCTTTTTATTACGTATGTGTTTGATACACTTGACTGATTTGCTCGAGTGAGCAGCTGAGTTTGAAATATATGATGATGAGATATACAAGGGTTTTTTTTTTTTTCTTATTTTTAATATCGAACATATGAACACGTAAGAGAGAGCTATTTGAAATAGTGATAAAGAAAAAGGTGTGAGAGAAGAAAAATTAACATTACAAAATAGAATCGATGGATCGAATAAATGTTCAACGATGGGCAAATTCTTTACGTCAATTTCATAGAAAACATTTTCAGGTGAGAATTCTATTTCTAAAGAACCTTATTCCTATTCAAGAAAAAAAAAAAGACTTTATCGAGATCAATAACATCATATACATATATAGTTATAATGATGCTGAATATAAATAGGCATAAATTGATTATATATAAGAAAAATATATTGATCATATTCGATCCTTTTTTTAGATGTTCCCTATTTATTTTCTAATATTCTTCTCGTTTATTATTACATTATAAAAATACTAACTAACAATGAATTATTCACATCGTCACCTCATGTGGTAAGATATGTTAACAGGAGAAAACAATGTACTATGCGGATAGATTTTTTTGTTTTGTACGTTTCTTTCTTTACTTACGAAACAAAAGCGTTTTGTGAAATCGAATGAATACAAATAAACGTTATTAAATATTCTAGTGTTTTTTTTTAGCCACAGATTGGAACTAATGTTTGTATAGATAATCAAAATGGTTTTCGAAATGCTTCAACCACTGTGAAAACAAAGGAAAATGAATCACCTAAAGATGTATGTATGAAAGAGATTATAAATATTAACAATATTTATTCATTTGTCTCTATTAGAATTCAAAATATTCTTTGACATTAGGTAAGAAAAGAATTTTCTTTCATAATTTAATATCTTAGATTATTTTAGAATTTCCATCTCCTAAAAAAGATTCTTGTCATAAATTAATAAAATCAGTAAGATCCTTTCCTCGTCAAAAAAAAAGTCTCGACTAATATGAATTTTTGTTTCTTCTAGCAATTATATACATCTGATATGACAACTAAAGATGAAGAAAATCTTAATTATTCTTCAGATGTTCAACTATGTGATAATCATACATCAGATTTTGTTATACCATCATCAGATCATCATGATATTGATACATTAAGTGATGCTGGTACTTATATAATTGAAGATGATAATGAATTAGAACAAAAAAATAATTCTTCATTAGCATATAAACGATATGTATGTCAAACAAAAAATCGTCATGGAACATTTGATATACATCAATTAATAACATCAACAACACAAACAATTAATCGTCCTATTATTGATTTAAATATTTCAAAAAATGATTTAGTTTCATCATCATCATCATCATCATCTATTGTTTCATTTTCAAATGAAAATGATCATAATATACATAATGAACTTGAAAATCAATCATCTAATGATACATCAAATATTCTTTTGCAATCACCATCACAAAATCAAATAAAACCAGCTGAATATTTTGGTGAAATATTTTAGAAAGAAAAATTTTTCTTTATTTTTTTTTTATTTAAGTTATTTCACCAACATTGAAAACAAAACATTTTTTAAATACAGATATTCATCAACGAAAAACAGATATTTTACGCCAGTAAATATTTTAATTTTGAAAATATTTCTTACAAAATAAATTTATTTAATTTTAGATCAGAAAAATCTGTTCCTATTAAAGATTCAAATGTTAAAACTGCAATTAATCAATCAATATCTCCTTCATTATCATCATGTTCTAATCAAAATTCTGTAGAAAAATATTCATTTTATCTTGAAAAACAATTACCTTACATCGAACCATCTATTCAATCTCATACAATTACAAATGATCAAACTAATTCTTCAGAATTATTTCAACGTAATTCAATCATAGGACAAACAATATCTTCATCATCAATAATAAATAATAATGATTATGATGAAACCAAACCAAATTTTACAAAATTCTCTATGAATAAAACATTTCTATTACGTCAACAAAGTTCTAATCATTTACCATCAACATCAAAATTAATTCAACAACAAATTTCATCAAAAACATTATCACAACAAATATCAAAGCCAACAACTACAATTAATTCATGTAGACAAATAAATCGAACTGTTCAATTACGTCGTGCACGTGCACAAGCAAAAATAGAAGAATTATCACAACGTAATATAAAACAATTAAATCAAAATGATATAATGAATACATCATGGCATAGTAATGCAAGTAGTAATGATAAAAAAGAGTTAGCTAATTTACAATTAAATTCTCCAATAATAGCAAGAACAAACATTATATCTCCACGACAAGATATATTAGCAAGGCGCACAATATCATCTATATCAGCTCATCGACCTACATCGACAAGTCCAAAATTCCATGAAGAAATATCTCCAAGATGTCGAAAAACTATGACATCAATTGAATATCAAAAACGGAATACAAGTGCTTGTAATATTGAAGAAGTAATGAAAACGTTTTCTTTAGTACCTATAAATCAATCATATATCTTAGAAACGATGCGATATATTACGTGAGAATGGACAACGATTAGTAATTAAATTAATTCAAATTTCATCAGGAATATTAGAAAAATTAAAGTAAACGAACATAATATCGATTGATTTTCATTAATTTCTTTTCTTTCTTTTATCTTGTTAAATATCTAGACCACATGAATCTGTTATTGATGATGATATCAACGTACGTGAATTAGAACAACTTGTTGATAAATTAGAAATGGTCAATCGAACATTAACCTGTAGGTGTATTTTGCTTTGAAGATTCGATCTTATTTAAAAAATAATTATTAATAATGACGCTAAGAAAAAAAAATCTTGATTAATAAATTACCGCCAGATATATTCCTTAGAATAATTTTAGAGTGAAATATTTCAAATTTTGATAAGATTTCTAATTAAAATTCAACAATTCGATGTAATCCTTATAATTTTATGTTTCCTAGATGCGTATATAATTTCAATCTCATCTCACTAATAAATAATTCGTAAGACAATTAAAGTTGAAGATCTTTTTTGTTCTTGCAAATAACGTTTCATAGGAAAAATGAATATCTAATATACATTAATCTATTTTAGCTATTGATGCTTCATTTACTGATCCTTTTGTCTAATCAAATGATGAATTTGCATTTCAAAGGAAGAAATTTTTTTTTTGTATTTTTTTTCTTGTCAACAGTGCTGATTGAACTCTCATCTATTTGTATGTTTTACTTTTTATATTAATATGTAAAAGTATTAAAAAACAAAACATTTTTATTTGTATTTATATATGTGAAAATAATTAAATATATAATTACAAAATTAACATTCAACGATGAACACCATCTTATATTTCTTATAGATAAAAAAAAACAAAATTTTGTTTTTCTAATGCTATGCGACAAACTTATCATTCAATAATAAAATGGTCATTTTTGACAGGAACATCAACAATATTATTAAAATTATGTTATGAAAGTTTATATAATGTATCTTTAAAAACATCAAATAAATCGATGTCAACATATGAAAATACATTAATTTCTTGGGCATCAACTGGTCAACGTTCGAAAATAATACAAAATAAATCAAATGATATAAAAATTCGTGATGATTTACAATTAATTGGTGCACAAATTTATTTTCGACATGGAGCTCGTACACCACTTAGTTTATTACCAGGACTTGAAGAAGTATATTTTAAATAATAATAATTTGATCATTTTTTTTGATTTTAAGAAATTTTGTTTATCTTCCAGGTGTCTTATGATAAAGAACATATTGAAATTTATCCACCAACAAAATGGGATATTAAATTAATTACAAAATTAGGTAATGATATTGTATCAAAAGATAAAATTTTATCAGCAAATGATATTATCGGTGATCGAATTAAACCATTAAAAGTTTGTTAGAATATTAAAAAAAGAAAAGATTTTAATAGTTTTTTTGTTCAGTCAACTTCAGGAGGAAAAATAGTTACAGGACAATTAACAGCTATTGGTGAAAAACAATTATATCAACTTGGAAAAATAATACGATCTCAAATTATCAAAGAAGATAATAATGAAATTATACCAAATATTTATGATCCAAATATTGTCTAGTATATAACAAACTATTTTTTGACAGTCTTTTTCGAAGAATTGAGAATTTTCAAAAATTGAATAGTTAACTTCATTGTTACTTTGAGAAGAATTTCTTCCTAGAATCAACAGTTTGCAATTTCAAACGAATGAGTATATAGTTTTCGACTCAAGAACTCCCAATGTCTATAGGAACAAAGTCAATCTTCGGAGAGGATCGTTTTCTGAGTCAATGAAACACTAATTTTATGTACAATATCAAATCAATTCTTCTTATGTTAAGTGGATCTACAAGACTTTCATCCAATTTTTTGGAGTTGGATCTTGCTGAAAATGACATCATAGATGTAGTTAGTGGTATGGAGTCTATTCTAAAATTCTTTGACTTGCCTCTTATAAGACTGGAGAGTTATTTACTAACGAGGAAACCTCTCCGAGTGTCAATCGCCGATCGAGTTCATATATTGCCCATAAGTAAGACTAGCAGAAGTCTGGAAAGATTCGTCTCCATACGCTGTTCTTCTGGAGTTACGACCGTTTTACTAGTTTTTCAATCTCTGGCAATGATATTTATAGGAAAGCCCAA